AAAATCAAATAGAGCATTGTCAGATTTATCTATACTAGGTTTATCTTCATCACATATAGTTTCTTTAATCATTCCCCCTATACTTGATAATAAAGATTTTACAGATTCTTTATCACTTTGTGATCTAGCTTCTACTTTTTTATCAAGTTCTAAAGCAGCTCTATGTGATATATGATTTGTATTAAAAACACCATTATAAGATGAAATACAGCATAACAAATCTCCTTTTTTAATGTTTATATCTTTTTTATCGTTATTATATAAAGTTATTTTAATATCATCAGTAGACTCTATTACAACAGAAATTAGTAAATTTAGTGATGGTTTATAATTTTCTGCAAGTGAAATCATTACATGTCCTTTATCTATTTTTACTCCACACATTAAAGAAATACTATTATATGAATTTGATTTTACTGTAAAATCTTCTTGTGCGAATACTTTAATATGTCTATCATTTATTGCTCTATGTTCTAAATCTGAATTAATATCAAAAGTTATTGTATATTTTTCATGCTTTTCATAATCTAATAACATTCTTCTCTTATACATTTTTTAAATGTAAAGATTTTTTTAGATCACTATAAATATAATACTTTTAAAGTATGATATTTTTTCATTTTTTTAAAGTTCTAACAATATAATTTAAAATACTTTCACCTTGATGTAAAAAATAACATGTTTTATCACTGTTATTTTTATATATTGTTTCTATTTCTCCTTTTTTATTTTTATTTAATTTACTCTCTACTAATTTACATGGAGTATAATGACAAATTTCTACATTTTCTTCAATTTCTTTTTTAGAATGAGCATATTTGCAATTTATATTTTTACATTCTTTTTTATCAAGAATATATTTGCATAATTTAGTTTTAGCTTTTCTTAATTTAGATAATTCTGACTTTTTAGGATGAAATAATACACACTCTTTATTCCTACATTTAGGATATTCATAGCAAATATGAATATGTCTATATTGACATGAAGATTTAGTGCATATTAGTCTTTCCTTTACAGTATTACAATAAGGAATATCATGATTGTATTTACATTTTCTTCCAAAAGGGCAGAAATTATCATTTAAAATATTTTTACAGAAAATGGGTAGTTTCTCTACAAAATGAATTGTTGAAGGTTTTCCATCTTCAGTAAAATTAATATCTACATTAAATGGTTTTTCAAAACTAAATTTTCTTTTTTTGTAATGTTTTTTAAAAGAAGTATTATCTATAGCAGGATAATCATCATTAATAACATTATAAGTTGGAACATAATTAATCCATTTCAGCTTATCTTTATGCAGTTCCATGATTTGAACTGTTTTTAAAGGAATTGGAACTATAGGTTTTTCTTTAACTTCATCTTCATCATCAGATGTAAAATAAGTAGCTTCATCAGATGTATAATAAGTGTCATCTTCAGAATCTTCATCTTCAAATTCAAATTTTAATATTTCTTCAAAAAGTTTAAATTCTTTTTGAAATTCAGATATTTCATTAATCTCATCATCATTCATTTTTATTTTTATTATTTGTAAAAATATTTTAAATCAAAAAAATTAAAAATGAGTTAAATAAATTTCTTATGTATATAAAAAGAATGGAAAATAAACTTGAAGAATTATTAAAATTAATAGATGAAAGATTAAGGTTAATAGAAGAAAAATTAAATATTATTGATACTCATGATATTGAAATGACTGAAGATTCTGAAGTTACTACAGTTAATACTACTGAAGTTACTGAAATTACAGAAACTACTGAATATGATAATGATAATGAAATGACTGAAGAAGATGATGATGATGAAGTTAAAGAAGATATTGAAATGACTGAAGATTCTGAAGTTACTACATTTACTACTACTGAAGTTACTGAAATTACAGAAACTACTGAATATGTTAATGAAGATGATGAAGATGAGGTTGTTGTATTTGATTATGAGACTACACAGAATTAACAATCTTTTATTATTTTATTTTTTACAAAAATAAAATAAATTGAAAATGAGTTAAATAATTTTCTTGTATATATAAAAAGAATGGAATTAGAAAATAATTTTAAGATTAATAAAATATTAAAAGAATATGGGTTTAAACAAGGTAATAAGGTTGATTTTGCTGCTGAAATAGGAAGAATTGATCTAATTAAATTATTAACTCAATTAGGAAAAAAAGGTACATATTTTGCAATTGATTATGCTGCAAAAAATGGACATGTAGAAGTTTTGAAATATTTACATTTATTAGGATATAAAGGGACAACAGATGCAATTGATTATGCTGCAGAAAATGGACATCTTGAAGTACTTAAATATTTACATTCATTAGGATATGAAGGGACAACAAAAGCAGATGATTATGCTATAATAAATGGTCACCTTGAAGTAATTAAATATTTATATTCTATAGGATATTTAAAAACAGATTTTGCAATTAAGTATGCTAATGTGCTGCTTAACAATGAAAAAAATGCTTCTACTATGCATAAAAAATAACGGATGCGCACAAGAGCAATCTGCGATAGCAAGAAACAGCAAGAAAATCACGTGACATTTTTCGACAAGAAATAAAAATTTAACACTTATTTAAAAAATTCAATTTTTCAATTTTTTTAAAAATTGAAAAAAATTTCTTATCTAAATAATTTATATTCAATAAGGATAACATTGAACCCTATATTTTTTAAAATATATGGTTGAAAATAGGGTTGAAAATGAAAATGAGCTAGAACTCTCCTCTCTCTACTACTTAGGTTTAATGTTAATAGTTGTTTTCTATACATACATAGTTTTAAGAAAAAAGATGCCTGCTGAAGTTAAATTTTTTTTTCTAGATTTGTATGTTATAAAATAAAAATTAACAAAATATATGTGTTGCTACATAGAATTTGTAAACTATTTTTTAATCAAAATTATTTGCGCTATAATTTTTTTATACATTGATAGATTGATAATTTTTTAAACAAAATAACTTCGCTGCACATTTTTTGCTTGTAAGTAAGAAATTTTATTTAATTTTTTGCTTGTAAGTAAGAAATTTTATTTAATTAAAAAAAAAAAAGATGTGTTTTTACAGTGTAAATTTTACCTTACTTTATTTAATTAAAAAACCTCCAATATCCTCCAGTCTGAAAATCTTCACTAAGTATATATACAGAAAAATGGTGGCGTGGGATTTGCAAAAGGCACAAAGATTTAACTTGACATCAACCAGAAAGTACAGCAGCTATTATCAAATATACAATATCAGACAAAACAAGTGCAACCAAATAATGCTAATTTAGTTTCTTTATATAAAATTTTTTCAATTTAGAGAAACAACTATGTAACTGTTTAGAAACAATGTTCTTCAAGTTTTATTCATCACAAAGTTTATTATTTGTACACGAAAATTAATAAACTAATCGAAAGTATGGAGTTGCACTGGTTTTGTCCAGAAGGAAAGTTGATTTCCTTCTGGACAAAACAAGTGCAACTCCACAAAATGTTGACCAAGCTGTATTTCGCTATCAATATTTTGAGGCGAATCCTTTGTTGTCGATCACAGTCTTGCATCTTCGAGGCATAGATTCGATCAGGTGATCAATGAAACTTTGTGGAATTGCTGCCCAGGCCTTTTGCATTTGTTCAAACAGTTGATTCTTATTACGAACACCTTTACGATTAATTCTGCGGTTGACGATCTCCCACAGGTTCTCGATAGGGTTGAGATCCGGAGATTGAGGCGGCCAATTCATCACCGATTGGTGGTTGTCTTGAAACTACTGCTTGACTACTTTTGCAGTGTGTTTTTGGATCGTTGTCTTGCTGAAAAACCCATTTTATTGGCATATTACATTCAGCATGAGGTAACATAACATCTTTCAGGTTATTTTTATACATGAAACGGTCCATTATTACATCGTTTCGATGTATTGGACCTAGACTATTAGCAGAAAAACACCCCCAGACCATTACATTGCCTCCACTATGCTTCACGGTCTTATGGCAGTAACGTAAATCGAGGCGTTTTCCGGCCGGTCGACGTACTCGGCAAATATAATCGCTCCCAATGATGTTGAACTTTGATTCATCACTGAACAGGACTGTTCGCCATTTCTGCACATTTTATACAATATGAGATGAGCAAACAGGAGTCTTTTTTTCTGGTTCTTTAGTGAAATCAGCGGTTTCTAAAGGGTTTGGAAGGGACTCTAGCATTAATTCACATAGATAAGATTAATTTAATATATATTTCTTGAAGATACTTCTCGTTATTTACAATCACAAACTTGAATCGCGTCAAGTGCTCAGCTCGTGGTGAAAAAGGAAGCGTAAGAGAGCGAGACTTGCTACGCGTTTAGTTAAATATACAAAGTAAAGAAGCATACTGGCTGCTGCGTTAGCGAACTAACGCAACAGTTTCTTTGCAGGGCGTCGAGAAAACAATCCGGCTTCAACAGCACGTCGTCTGGTTGTTCGGTCCGATACAGGCAGCTTTAATTGCTTTTGTATCTCGACTGATGATATCCAGGGATCCTTCTTGACGGATCTGACGATTATAGAATCCTCTCTAGAAGTGGTGGAACGCGGTCTTCCATCTTTGTTATCTGCTGCCAACATCCCCGTAGAACGATATTTGGAACATATCCAGTTAACCATTTCAACTGGGTCCTAGCTGGAACCCAACTGGGGAAAATTATGGGACCCATATGGGTCCCATTGCGATTCTGTCAGTAGGATCCAACTGGATTCTTTCTGGGATTAGTCTGGGTTTTTGACGGGAAATCGCATATTGAACCCAGATATTTTTTTAATTTACGACGGGTTTTCTCATTTTTTTATAACTTGTTTTTCCCAGATTTTTTGTATCTCGAATCTGCGAAATGTGACAATTTTTTATATAAAATTAAAAAGTAAAGGTTTATATATATTAATTTAGCTGTCAGGGCAATAAAATGTATAAGGCAAATAATATTTGGTCTGACAACTTTTTAGGAATCAATTGAAAAAACATATTTGAATTTCATAATATTTAAATTAACAAAAAACTAATATTATACAATGATTTGATGCAAAACTGTTCTATGATAGTAATATACTGCCACATTAGTTCTCTCATATCGCCACCATAATCACTGCCACATTAGTTCTCTCATACCGCCACCATAATCACTGCCACATTAGTTCTCTCATATCGCCACCATAAAGTTTATCGTTACGCTTCTTTAGTGCTTTCATCCACTTTTAATAATATAATAATTTATAGCATATATATTTACAAAATATAGATAAAAATATTTATTAATAATATTATTTAGGGTACACCATGCAGTGTGCCATACCATGTCATATCTTGCATATAACTAACTAACACTAGACAAACAAAAACACACGTAAAAATCACAAGCTAACTCAATACAGTATATAAATCGATATACGTGCTATAACAATAGCCAGATTGAAGTAGAGGCTTCTTCAGTTGCCATCATCTAGTTTTAAAGTTTCTTCAGTTTTTCTTTTTAACAGGCATCTTGCAGGGAATCTAAAACAATGTTATTTCATGGTAAATGTTTGATGTTATTAATTAGGCATGACATAATTAGACTTGTAAACAACAATAATATAACATGACTAATATGTTAGCATTTAAAATTTAAAGTCTTGACTCAAGTTAACCTGACAGCAAACTCTTAAATCAGTTGGTGAGGGTTTAATATCTTTTATATAATTTAATAAATGCAAAAAATAATCAATATCACTAACATTTAAATTGTATCTTTGTTTTTTTTTTTTTTAAAAAAAACATCTCCGCTTCAAACAAGGCTACAAGCAACCACTAGTTAGTGTTGGAAGTTTCTAGAAGAAAGAAGATGAAGATTGTAGAGCAAGATATCAATTGACAGACAACGTAAAAGATTGCAAGTTATATGAATCTGGAAAGCAAGATGAAGAAAGCGAAATCCAAAGAACTGATGTTCGAGGGAAAAAACTAGACGAATAAGAGTTTTTGGAGCACTTATGAACATTAATAGAAAAAGGATAAGACTTAATTGAATGACGAGTAACACAAGAATGAATTTTAGTAGATGGCACAAGAGACGCTAGCTCTTTGGAGCAGTACCCGTTATAGTATTTGTAGAAAAGAGAAAGAGAAACAAAATTACGGCGATGTGATAAAGGTTAAAGGTTGGCTGCAAGAGCAGGTCCAACTATGTTTACAATACGTTTTTGCATCTTGTCTAAAAGAGAATGGGCATCATTAGAAGATCCGCCCCAGATATAATAACAGTATTCCATACAAGGCCGGATTTGAGATTTATAGAGATAGAGAATAGAATCCAGAGTAAGAAAGTGTCGAGCTCGATAAAGAGACTGCAACTTTAGCAGATGCTAATTTTGCAACGGATTTGATATATGGTTTCCAAGAAAGATCAGAAGAGTTAATCCTAGAAGATGATGGGTAGAGGACTCATCAAATACATTACCGTTCATAAATATAGGAAGGTCTAAATTATTAAACGATTGGCTGAAAAAAATTGAGTTTTATCTGAATTAAAGTTCACCATGCACTGTGAGCTCCTTTTCAAGCTCAAATACTCCCTTTAAGAATTCAGAGATTTTAGGCTTCTTATCAAGACAAGAATAAATAGTAGTATCATCAGCGAATAAAGCCACCTTAGATGTGAAAATATCTGAAAGATTATTAATGTAAATTAAAAAGAGTAAGCCAAGGATAAAACCTTGAGAAACACCTAAAGTTACAGGATATGAAGAAAAGTACTGTCCATCGAAGACAACTTTTATACTATGATTGGTTAGAAAGGATTCAATAATCTTAAAGATGTTACCAGATACAACGTAAGAAGAAAGCGTATGGAGAAGACCAGCATGCCATACTTTTTAGAAATCAAACGCTTTAGAAATGTCAAGAGCGATGGCCTTAACCTCTCCACCTAATTAAACAATAATCATTTTAGATTATATTATTACTTGAAAATAATTATTTGCTACAATTTAATACATTGAAAAAAATTTAAAACAATTGTAGTTTTGAACACAATAAATTTTGTATTAAAATTATTTTCACAATGAAAATTTACAATAATAAACAAGCGTAGAGTACTTACATTAATATATATAATAGTTATATTCATTAGTCAAGCATAACGTATTTCAATTACCATGGACCAAAATTTATTGTTGAATTTCATGTTGTCGTAGAGCTACATTTGTGATTATATATTAAATTTATTTCACAGCAGATTCTAAAAAATATGCAACACCCTAATTAATTGGTTTAAAAAATCGTTATACATAAATAACTTAGAACTTATCCATTCACAGAAGCCCAGGTCAATAATAGGAAAAACCTGTATATTTTGCAAATTCTATATATCTTTAATATATATAAATTATTTTATTTATTTTATCAAATTCTGTAAACTAATAAAATTGAGTAACTCGGAGAAAGCAAAACTTTCCTAAACTTTGAGAAAGAAAAATATTCAAAATGATGTTGTCAGATTAGGTGAAAACTTACTAGATTTAGATAAATCATTTCATAGGAGTTTTTTCATAACTTTTATGGGTAAAAAAATAAAATTTGTTGAAGTAATGTACTTTCTGTTGTTAATCATAAATCAACACAAACCAACTCTATAAACAAAACACTATTGAACCTCTTTAATAAATTTAATAAAGTTAAAAAGTACAAAAATAACATAAATAAAAAATGTATTACCAAAAAAAATTTTTTTTATATTGTAAATAAACATATTATATATGACTATATGATATCATATAACTCAATGAAATTGACTTACTATAGCAAGTGAAAAATACAAAACATTCATGATTATTTAAACATTCAGTTTTTGCAATATTTAGTATCAAAACTAAAAGAGTAGCATGATTGTATATTTATTTTATTTCACAACATATTCTAAAAAAATTATATAACATCTTGTGAAAATAAATTGAAAAACATCTTAAAACCTTAAAACTCAACATTTCCCTCTTTTAAACCAGCCAAATTGTTTCTTAAACACATGTCTAAATATTGCTATCAAAATATATCACTTTTATATTTTAAAGAATTTTTAAAATGTATTTAATAAATAAATATGTTCAAACAAAATGTGATAATTATTTTATTATCACAGACAAATAAAGTTAAACGTTAAAACACCAAATAGTTTTTGTCACTACTTACTATTATTTACAAATAATTTACAATATAAATGATTTAAACATTTTTCCATTAAAACCTTATATTATAACTTATAATATCAGTTACAGTATTTATAATATAAGTAATATATTATTAATTATATAACTTATAGAAAAAGTAAAACATTTATGTATTTATAAATAATATGTAAAGTTTAGATATGGCAGTGTTACTTAGTAAAACCTTACCATATTTTTTTAGTGACATTGAGATTTGCTTGAAAAAGAAAAATTAAAACAAAACACACTAACTTAGTGTATTTCGTTTTCGTATCTTAGTGACTAAGCCACTAAAACTGTAGACACACCAAACCATATAAACTATTTTGAAAAATTTTTAACATTTGTCTATAGCATAAAAAAATAAAAAATATGCTTTCAGTTTAATAAAACATTAAACAACTCTGTAAAAAAGTAAACATTGACATACTCTCAAACTTATCAATGGCTATGAAATTTAGAGCAGTTTAAGAGTATGCCACATTTTTTTGAATTAAAACTGATATGTAAATAACTATTTTTTGCAAAAATACTAAAAATGAACCAAATTAAGTTCCGTTTCACTCCAAATTCAAATGTATATTTAATCCAAATCAATTTGCGTTACTGTTTATGTCATTTTAAAAGATTTTATCTTCAAGATTTTATTTTCAAGCATAGTTTTTGCCGCAATGGTTGTACTATATAGGTATAATCGTTGTAATATACCCATCTTTTACCCAGTTCAAACTTAGTTCCAATATTTGAGTTACATCCCAGCTGGGACCTAGATGTCATGATTAACTGGACAGTTTATCACTTTTATTATTAATTACTTTTATTTGCAAACAATACGCAATATAAATTATTTAAATATTTTTCATATAAAACTTTATACTACAAATTAAAATTTAAGTTATAATATTTATAATATAACTTAAATTATAAATATTATCACTTTGCAAAACATAGTATTACTATGTTTTGTAAAGTGATCATATTACTATTAGTAAGGTTTTACTAAGTGACATTTATAAAAATTTACTTATTATTTTTTGTTAGTCATTGTTTAAGTTATTATTTATTTTTAAATAGTGATATATAATTTGTTATAGTGTTATATAACTTTTGTTTTTATTTTCTTTTTAACCATTTATTATATATGCTTTATTCTACCGTGTATTATTATTACTTTTTTGTTTTTTTAAATTTATTTATTTTTAATTTATGTTGTCATTTTCTTTTTGTTGTTAATGTTGTTTTTATTGCCAAAAGAACTTAACGTAATATTTTGTTTTGCTTGTAATGTTTGTTGTATGTTTTGTTTTGTTTTGATTTTCTCAGTGTTTTTCTGTTTATATTTTATTTATTTACTTTTTCATATTATTTGCAATATATTTCGATTATTATATTATAAGAAAAATGTATTTACTAAATCTTTATATTTTTTTTTAAAAGTGGTTATTTTTATGTCATCGTTAGTTGTTACGTTTTGTCAGTTTATTACTGTTTGTAACTGTAACTTTGTAAGTAAGAACGATTGTTGTATGAAAAATTATACCGATTTATTTAAATTATTTTAATTACTATATTATTATTACTATTGTTAAAATAACATGTTATTATTATTATTATGAATATTATTTTTATTATTATTACCATTACTATTTTAATCATTATCATTAGGTGTTTACATAATATTAGTAGTTTGTACAATTTGTAAACAACCTTGAAATGTAATACCAAATATTTCTGAAATATACCACGGCTGTTTCAGAGTGGACATACGGCTTCTTGTTATTTTTTGAAAATAATTACTTAGGGGGTGTTACTAAAACTTTCATACCTTTTGAAATATTAAAGATAAATACGTTCTGTAAAAAGAATATGAACACTGACTAAATGTTTTATATTTGATCATTTAATATAATAATCCAAGGTTGCTCTGATTTTTAAATAAACGCGCAAAATGACGAACTTGGCCAAATTTCGATATTTTTAAGGTACTTTTTAGCAAAAATAATCAGAAAAATTATATTTCTGTTGACTAATATGTAATATAAACATAGTTAGACCAATTATAAAACATATTAACATTATTTACACCGAATGCAAACAGGCACTACAATAGACGAAAGAAAAAAATCGCAAAAATTTTTTTCTTTTTTTAAAAGATTCAGAACAAAAAAAAAGAGTTTTGAATTATTTTTGCTTTCGGTCGTAGAAAAATTTCCTGACACTTAAATCAATATTACAATATTAACACTTTTCTTTGAAAAAATAACACATTTTTTATAGATATACATAACAATATAAGCAATTTAAAAAATTTGATAAATATCGTTTTGGTGGATTGACATAAATAGTTTTTTTTTCAGTTAATATATTTATATAGGTTCTATAAGTAGTAAACGATCTTTGTATGCAATTGATACTAGTTTTATTTCCATTCCATATGGAAAATACTCTTCATAATCTTACTGGCTTCTTATGTTAAATGTTGGCGCTTCATGCTTCTTCTGGAGTTTTCCAAAGATTGTTTTATTTATACTCTAAAATTTGTCTCGCTAAAAAAGCTGTGTTTTTTTTTTATTTAATAGTGAATTGGGAAGTAACGCATTTAAAGTTACGTCATTGCTTTAAAATGTAAATAAAAATTTTTCGCATGTAACTTAGGGTTGTTAACCGGAGGATTTCGTGCAATTCCGGAAAAACAACATTCTTTCGTAAGGAGATTGAGAACACGGAATTACATTTTTTCGTACCGAATGTTACTAAACATTTAAAATCGCTGATGTTCATTTCGCAAAAGCCACTTCCGAAATTTAGCATTTCGCAAGTTGACATACGAAACAAAACTATTTTGCAACATACGAAAGTAGCGGTTTCGGAAGTAGCACTTGCGAAACAAACATTTTCGCCAAACGACGTTTTGAAGTCTATAAAGAAAATTTGTTTGCCAGACTGATTTTAATTGTAAAAATTAACATCTTTAAATCCAAAAATGTTTATAATGAATTTTTATTTTCAGTATAATAACTATTAAATTTTTACGGTTTTATTTTTAGAAATATTGATAAAAAATAAAATTTCTTTCGAAACGAAAGTATTTCGGATCACAACATAAGAGAGAATTCTTAACGGAAATAAACTTACGAAACGTGCTATAATAAATATATACAACGATGTTTTTTGAACTCATTACGTATATTAAAAATAAGAATGATGGGTAGGAATATACATGTTTTTTTTTAAAGCATATGAAATTTTTGAAACAGGTTTGAATATGCTTAAGCAAATAGTAAAAAGAGGCTCAAAAATATGCTTTAGCTTAAGCATATTTCTGATAAAATATACCTATTTCAATAATTTCTAAAAGTGTGCACGTTACTAAAATTCTAGCAGATTTTAAAGGTATGTAGAGTCCTGTTTGAATACGCTTTTCAAAGTATAGATCATAGAAAATATTGTTTTTTAATTTTAATAAGATATAAATTTGAGTATAAGATTGTATAGTTCAATCAGTTAGATACGTGATAATTCGCCGCAGAGATCCGGGTTCGCATCCCGCAGCCATTGTAACTTTTGTTCATCAAACTCTTTTTACTTAAAATAGCATTTTTTGACCTCCATGTTCTATACTACAGATCTTTCGTCGCCTTCACAATAGTGACAACCTCTCTTCTGTTAGTTATTTTTTTTAAGATTAAGTTCATTGTGCTTAATTCAACACGCTTCCCTTGCTTTACTAAGTTCTACTTAAATTATGATGAAATGTACGTAAAACAACTTTTTCAAATAATATAATTCATTTTGCTTTAAATCTTTTGCTTTTTGTACTAGACATCTGTCCTAAATACTTTGTAATAATTTCTAGCTAACTCTGAGTCTAATATAACCATTTCTGAATATAATTTCCCTGAGGCTTCTACAGCCTATTGTGTTCCATTAAAAGTAACTAGTTTTTGAGTCCAGATATTAATTATAAGCATCTAAAGGTTCACATTACTATTCATTTTCCTGATATATAGAATCCTATTTGCATACGTATCTCTTTCTGTAAATTCTGTTTTATATAGTTTCTTAATTATATATTAAATAAATATTACTATTCACTTAGTTGAATGAACGTATAGCTCATTCAGTTAAGACATTTGGCCGCGTAGACCCAGGTTCACATCCCGCTGTTTCACATATATTTCTTCTCTTTTTACTCTTTATGATATCATTTACCTTTAGAGAGATCTCTCGTTCTTTATAATAAAGTATTTAATTGTTTATCACACATCCTCTTTATACTTTTTAAAAAGAAAGGCATACTGT